TGTTTGTTTGTATATATGTTTGTAAATCACGACAAAAACTTTGAATATACGTGCATTCTGATTGTCTGGGTTTCTTATAATTCAAGCCAGGAATCATCGCATTACGGATTTGCTATTGGACTATTACCATCGAAAATATGGACATGTACCGAAACTGAGGGTTCAGCTGCGACTAATCACGAAACGTCATCCCAAAAATGGGACCGCTACCAGCGATAGGTATGATTAAAACAATCTTCGGTCCGTATTTGATCAGGATTGGAAGGAGTGCGGTGAAATGATGGGTTTGCTTGTTTACATGTTTCACCGTTCGGGCTGTTCATCTTGAGGTTGTCGCCAGTATATCCACGGACTCATGTAAAAAGACGATAAGACGATTCATTGCACGGCGTGGCTCTCCGCAAGAAATCTACTCCGACAACGGAACTAATTTCGTTGGAGCGAGTCGGTATCATCAAGAATATCAAAATCGAACTGAGCATCACTTTCACCAGTGTGGAAACTCAGTGGTGGTTTAAGCCCCCTTCCGCCTCACATGGGAAAGGCCTTAAAAACCTCTCTAGGATCGATTCCAAGAGTCCGGAAGTTAGATGAGGAATCACTAGTAACTGTGTTAGCAGAAGCAGAAAGTATGGTCAACTCGCGACCGCTTACCTTCATTCCCTTGGAAGCGACCGGTCGCAAAGCTTTGACCCCAAATCAATTTTGGCTGCTGGGCTTCAAGGGAGTGCGTTAGCCAGAGAAAACCCCAACGGATGATGAACTTGCTTTGCGGAATTGCTGAAATATGGTACATACATGTAAGTTTCGGGATGTAAGGCCGATCAAGAAAGGTGTTACGTTTGCAACCGCTCGACGAACCCCTTGCAGAAATGTGTGATATTGTTGTGTGTTTGTTTGTCGTTCATCGGAGGTTTTCTTGGACACGCCCGTGCTGTCAATGATCACAGTCACAATAGATCAGTGAAAGCAAGCGACGGCACGGGCGCATTTGGAAGAGCAAATCGCTCTGTTGGCTATTCCAATGCGAGAAAACACCGAAGTTGTAAGTACTGTAATGTATTGTATTTTTATGTGTGTTTTAATTATATAAATATTACTGCTTTGTATCATGTGGAATATATTGCTATTGTGTGTTTTATTTGCTATGCTGAAAGATCGGTGCCCATCGTCATAACATAACATAAGGTGAGCTAGCTTTGGTAGCAGGAGGAAGGAACCGTTGGATGAGAGAACGAGTAGTTCGGGTGATTATAGGTAAGGATGGAGTGGACCGTCGGGCAGAAGTTCTAACATCAGGAGGGGTTCTGAAAAACTGGCTGTGCTGGACGTTGAGAGTTCTGGTGACACCTAACCGGAAGCTATGGCGACACGCGGGGGAGGATGTTCACCGCAACAGCCCCTGGAATAGGTTAGCACTAATTAACGCCACATTACACGCAACGGTCGATCCGTGAACCCAAGCCTTCAAACATGATGACAAAGATATTAGAGAGAAAGAATGATAAGAAATGATTAGAGATATGGGCTAAAAGGATGTAAAGAAGCCTGATTGTGCTAGGATACAGTGATTGGATTTTTCATATTTTGTTGAAGCATAGCGGAATAATTATTATACTAAAAGAAGAATTTTCCAGAAGTTTGTAGAACTTCGCTGAAGTTCAATGAACTTCTGTGATAGTTGTTGAATTTATCTGCTTCTTCGGATGATCTTCTTTAAAATTCGCAGAACTTTCCTAAGATTCACTACAGTTCTCTATGGTTCCTTAGACAAAATATGGGAACTGCAATGAAGCTCTAGCAATTCTGTAGTAATTCAATGTGAGGGCTACCTAATCACTGGGCAAGAGTAGCTAACCTCATGTGAGTTTCATTCCTGTATTATCAGCATTATCGGTTAAACGATTTTCAAACAAATTCGTCATGGTTGCCAGAAATTATTTTCGATCTCGTCGTTGAGTCAAACATCTCTATTTATTTTTAAAAGTCCAGCAAATTTTCTGCCTCTCAGGATGTTTTGGTGGAAAATTCCACCTTCTCTACCTGCTGAGTATGGGACACACAACTTTCGGATACTTACTATCTCCTTTATTGAACTTCGGTAAAAATCTTTACAGAGTCGCATTTTCAAAGCACTACAAGTGGACACTTTAATTTCTTCCTGAGGTTGATTTTTATAATTCCAGATTTTCTACACGATACATCTATAAAAAAAAAAAACTCGAAGCAGGCCAAAAATCAATGCCTACTACGATTACGTGGCTGTCTTAGACTATCCTGCTCGTTTCTTTCTCTTTTACTCTTATGAGGTAATGGAAATTAAACAAGATGTTGTGCTACCAACAAATATTAATTGATTTTGCGCAAAGTCGACATAATCAATATGGATCTTACTTTGGAGTCAAAGAGAACTTCTTTAATGCCATTTGGATTAATTCAATCAACCTTATTCCGCTGCATTTGTTCATTTCATAATAGTTTTGAATGGTCAATAGTCCATATACGCCTTCCAATTGGCTTTGTGAACTTCAAAACTCAAGACGAAATATTTTAAAACCATCACATATTTGATTGTTGGAATCAATACTAACATCCTGTGAAGAAAAATCTGAGGTACAGGAATGTCGGTCATAGTTTGTTAAAATGTAAGGGGAACGGTGACCTTAGAACAACCGTTTTTGCTTAGATAGGTTTGATCCCAAAGCTTATTACATTACTATGTTGATAGGGTCGCATCATTTGCTGTAAAACATCGCATCTCACTTTCCTTAGTGAACTCCGATCTAATTCACCCATCCCACTATCAAAAACGTCCTTTCCGAGACATCCGTGGAGATTTTTTTATGTAAACTTTATTAAGTAGACTTTCAGCCCTGAGCTGGTTCGTCTCCGTATCCGTGGAGATGCAAAAGAGTGTCGAACTAACAAATACTTCCCTTCCCGATGATCGTAGGTTCATGGCCGGCACCGTTATTGACCAAGTATAAAGTTTGCACACTGATAATGGATTGCTAGTCCCAAACCCCATTCATATGGTTCGTTGTGCAAATGCTCATGCTCATTGACTTGCTCTCCAAATGTGATTTCAAACCCACCTTCATCGTCATTCAGCGGTAATTTTGCTGGAAATGACTCACCATGTTAATTGATTAATGGTGGTGGTGGTGATGATTGTCTTTATTAAGGAGATTTTCAGCCAGACGCTGGTAGTTCATTGATTAATGTTAAAGCACATATCAACTTGAATCGATTTAAAAACGTCACCACATGAAAAGATAATTCAGCATTCGAAAAAAGCTCTCATCAAAAAGTTCCAAACTGCTGAGTCACGCTTTCTCGTATTCTCATCAAGAGACACGATATTGGCGGTAGAAAAGGCGACCCAGACCACCCGAAGAAACGCTTCAGAAGGATAAAATTATATAATTAATGACAAAGGCATGCCGTTGACACATCGTAAAATTGATCGATGTCGCATTTGAGCACAAGTGGCAGGCAGGCTGAGTCGGTTGGAAGTGTCATCTACTAGGTAGGAGAATAAGAACGAACAGGCAAAAAGGAACCACGCCATGCTGCCATCACATATGTGAGGAAAATTGTTGGTGGGCGGAGGGTTGGCGCGTGGGTTGTCTCTGGACTTACATCATCAACCGCAACGAAGAAGTGACAAACTTGGCAGTGTTCTGTTCTGTTTCCTAACTGGGACAGCCAACCAGGCAACCTCAATCAACCTTTCTGTCGTCGTCGTCGTCGTCATAATCATCGTCATGTATGAACACACCACGTGTCTATCCCGGAACACATGGTTCTTCGGGCCATGAGGATCCTGTTAAACTTTTGGGTGTTTACCATCAGACTTGCACAGAATGATGATGATGATGATGATGATAATGATGATGATGATGATGATGATGATCTTCTACCTTGACATAACTTTCAGCTGAGCGAATTATCCTTAAGGTAATTTATGTTTGGGAAATTTCCTTGTGCTTCATTCTTATTTAGTAAAGGGTACTGACATCTGTAGGCTTAAAAAGAGAAGAATAAATCACTTTAACTATTTTGATACGCGAATGTCCGATAGGAATAAAATTCTATACAATTTCACTAGAGCCAAATTCAAACAAATTGGTACTAGTTTTATTCGAGCCGGTTCAGTCATCTATTAGGAAAGTGAATGCATAAAAGACATACATGAAAAAAAAAACGACTGAGACTCCGTTCAAATATAGAAGCTTATAAGCCAGAACATCTTTCGTTATAAACATAAATGGCCATCACTCTCTATTCAGGTCAAAAATCATTCCCAAATCAAATAATACATTAATTGGATCAATCTCTGCCAAACAGTGTGCAGAGAAAGTTATTCTCTTGCTCCATCATGACTCCAATTAGTGCTTCAATCAAAACGTCCGAGCCAATGAAGCAAGGGTCAGAAATATGCAATATTCATCGGCAGCAAAGTTATCAATTTGTCTATTATTCCTTTACATGCTCGTTGTTTCAGGAGAAAGAAAGAAAAAAAACAACAGACATGAGAATGCATCCTGCAAAAACATTGCACTAGTTCGGATCCAATTATCTAAATGTTGCAACTCGTCAGAACTGTTCAAACATGAATGTTAAATTTAATTAATTTGAATTTCATGCATGCAGTGGTTGTTCATCCAGTAGTCAGTCGGCGGCAGCAGTGATAGAGAACGAATTGCCATGAGAGAAAATAAAAGTTTGTTGAGCTTTATGCCAATTCCTCTCTTGTGGATGAATGTATGCAACCGGACCGGAAAAATTGCCAAGCGGTTGTACGTTTGTTTCGAAAAGTTAGACTATACGAAGACGGAATCGCTGCTACTGACCGGGATGAATCTAGTTTTATTTTGCATAAATGAATAGAAATCGATTCTTTGAAATAATTCCGATGATGGTTGTATGAGAGGTATATATATATATATTTATTGTCTATGAATATTAGCTGATTGCTTTGGATTAGTATCTACATGTCACTGATGCCCTTTTTTGTGTCCCCACTTTTTGTGGTGGTCCTTGCCACCCTTTTTGGCAAAGTGCTCCTTGTGATTCCAATGTTCATCGTGGCCATGTTCGTCCTTGTGACCCACATGATCGTGATGATGCGCTCCCTTCTTCTTCTTGCCCTTCTTACCGTAGTGATCTTCATGGTGTCCAGCCTTTTTGTGACCCTTCTTTTCCTGACCGCCCTTCTTGTAGCCATGCTCCTCCTTGAAGTCCCCGAACTTCTCGTCAAACGCCTCATCGTGATCCTCATCAAAGAATTTCTTTTCCTTCTTGAACTCGTCTAGTTTGTGAATTTCGTGATGTCCCTTCGTCGAATGTCCCTTCTTGAAGCTTCCGCTTTCCTCAAACTTGTGCCCCTTTTCACCCTTCTCGCCTTTCTTGTTCTCTTTATGGTAACCGCCTTCATCGTGATGCTTCTTCTTGTGTCCTCCCTCGTCATGATACTCCTTCTTGTGGCCTTCCTTGTCGTGGTGTCCCTTCTTTCCTTCCTCGTGTTCCTCGTCGTGCTTATGACCTTTATCACCCTTTTCCCCATGGGACGAATGCTCTTCTGAGTGGTGTTCCTTACCGCCACCATGTTTCCACTCTTCTTCCTTTTCGTGTGGTCTTCCTTCAATCACTAGCAGAGCGCAGCATACAAGTGCCAGCAGAAAAATCACTCTTACAGCCACCATGGCGACTGATTGGCTGTCTGTCTGTCTATCAACCGATACCAAACTACACTAACCCAGTTGCAGCAAATCTGTCATTTATATTCATGCTCTAAACACCACCGTCCAACCACCCACCACCCAAAAATCGTGACAACCACGAACGCAGTTTCCAATGATCGATGCAAATTCGTTGCAATATATGTTCCACATGGATGAACTTCTTATTCAACGGCTATGGGGTGACAACGAAGATTGGGTGGTGAAATAAATGTGTAACGAGACATGATTGTTTCAGTTCAACCAGGGTCCAATAGAAATCGTTCAATGTCATTTGCACATACAGCTTTCCCACGATCACTGAACTCTGCCCATCGCTTTTTCTCGGCGGGTTTTCAACCAATCACTCTGATTTTCTGTGAGTGACTAGATCATCATTGACACTAATCACATGCAAACAAATCACAGACACAGACAAAAAATACAGCGAATGTACTGAAATTAGATGGAATTGAGCGGACCAGTATAAATTTATTCATCTTACCTGCAAGATTATCGATTATTGCGTCATTAAATTCGAAATTTGGTTTGTTCTAGGATATTTCTTTTGCACTGTTTCAATATTTTTTCACTGTGTAGCTAAGGTAGAAGATGTTAAGCAGGCACTACGTTACACCTAAAACCTCAAAATTATCATCAGTTCAGCATTGAGAAATAATGTTCCATCGATATGTGTGCAAAAACTAAAACATTCTTCAGCGCTATAGGGTAGAGCACTACTTCGTCGTAATCGCCCATTTCCGTTCTATCGATCAAAAAATATCAATAAAATCAATGATTTCACCATGCACCAATCAATAATAGGTGTATTCAGATGCGTTAGTTCATTAGCTACAACAAAAGTCCTATTAGAGCACATTGTATGTATATTGTATGAATATTTACGCTCATTGTTCTCAAAACAAAAGAAGCGCCCTAGTGAATCCCTTTTTTCTACGTTTAACCGTAGGACGAAGAAAGTCTAATGGCGTTTCAATGCGTTTGGACGGAATTGAAACTCGTTGAACGAATTTAGAATCAAGAAGCAGTATGAGATTTTACACAATATCTCAACAATTTGTTATTCTTTATCAAATCCAACAGTACTTATGGAAAAGTGAATAAGTTTAGAAGTAATTTTTGAGAGAAATTTCCAATTTTTTGTTCAAACCCGTTTAAAAAAAAGAGGTAAAGCGCGGGTTGTGCTTAGTAGGACGGAAATTAGTTCAAAACCACTATTTGTGTAAAATGAAGAAAATCATTTTAATAATATTGACAACAAAACAGCCGAGAAAGATTTTTTTTTTGATCTTTATCTAAGAGATTTTTAGCCACAGGCTAGTTTAGGGGCGAGAAAGAACATCCAGCCACTAATGAAGGTAAACAAACGTTGACTTCGATACTCAGAGGTTGCCTTGAGCGAGAGAATGTTGTTGTCATCGTTGCCAGATGGTTTTCAAGCCTATCGGTATCAAATCGGAATTTGTCGGTATTTACTATTATAATTGAGGGGGTTAGAAGGAAAGGGGTGGAAGTGACTTTGATCGATTCTCTTCATCGACATTCTCTTTTGATAGCCACAGCTTTCTGAAAAGGTTTTGCTCTAGTTCTGCCACATAGCTCGATAAAGGAGGTTCTCATCTAGCATCCAGAATGGCACATGAATCAAGGAATGTGTTTGCAGTTGAATTGTTAACGAAAGAGACAGTCGATGAGGAGAATCGATCAAAGTCACTTGCACCCCTTTCCTTCTAACCCCATCAATTGATTTTATATTTTTGCTGTGATTGGGTGATTTTCCAAGAAACGTCTCAAAAATCCAATGGAAGAAAGCGAACATCGGAATAAATTCCGTGTGATTGTAGCCAAGGATTTTGTTTTTCTAAAGGTGTAAAATTTGAGTGGAAAAGTAAATTAAATTTCAAATACTGTGCTTTTTCCGAAAAAAAAATGGCATTGCCTCCCATAGAGAATATGCATGTGGAGTTGCGATTGACACTACTGGCTATTTTTCTCGTCAGTGTATCTGTGCGCGCAAGGAGATGCAATCTTGCACATCCCGAGCAGAAGAAAATAACTAATCAATACCTAATTCTGACCTGATACCAAAATTGGGTATTGATCAGCATACGAGGTAAAATACCAAAGAATAATGCCGAAAAAAAATACATGCAAAATACTTTGCAAATTACAAAAATTGATATTTGGATACCAAAAGAATGCCTGTGTGGTATTGTTCTGGTATTGAATTATCATTGTTTGGAATTATTTTTTGGTATTTTACCTCCTTATGTTATGCCAATTTAAGGTATCTAGATATTAGTTCCTGCTCGGAATATGTTATATATTTACCAAAACATTCTTCTGACTATGCACAACATGATGGTATACATAAACATTTTTTTCCTTGATTTATTTTCCGTTGATCTTGAGCACCAATGCTACTGACGCCATGGAGGCAACTCCCGCACCTGGACCCTACCTATCGACCCATCAACTCATGAAACGAGGACCAACGACTTTACTTCCCTTCCGAAGGAAGGCGTGATCAGATATGTTATGCCTCAGAACATCCCGGCGGCGCCGACTGGGATTGAACCCAGGCGTGCTGGGTGAGAGGTAATCACGCTTTCCACTACACCACCGGCACCGCTAACATAAACATATGATTTTCAAAACTTTGAAGCAAGATTTTTCAGACTGCAAACCATGTGTCAAACTCGCTGCAATTGGATACATTCGTTTTACCACGTTGCCACATTGTCTTGATCCTTTGCTAACCGGATCACATGTTCGTAGGTGCTCGTGTCCTTGTTCGCTAGTTCGAATTGTCAGAAATTAAATCCAAGACCTTCGATTGATCGGAAAGTGTAATTGAGCTCTTCATATATTTCCTTGAATTTCCTATTTCCATATCAGAAGAAATTATATCGAAGACCTACGACTGATCGGAAAAAATTGAAAAAAAAAAATTTAATGGCAGCACTTCCCTGAACTTCGGCAGGACTTCCTTGAAGTTTAGCAAGACTTCCCTGACCTTCAGCAGGCCTTATATGAAATTCGGCAGATGTTCCCTGAACTTCATCAGGACTGCCCTGATTTCCAAGAATTGAAATGGCAGGACTTCCCTGAACTTCAACAGGCATTCCCTGAGCTACCGAAAAACTTCATTGAACTTCAGCAGGACTTTCCTGAACATCCCAAATTTTGGCAGGCCTTCCTTGAACATTGACAGGACTTCCCTGATGTTTGAAAAACACCCCTGAACTTCGGCAGAGCTTCCCTGAACTTCAGCAGAACTTCTCTGAAATTCAGCAGGACTTCCCTAAACCTCAGAAGGACTTCCCTGAACTTCGGCAACATTCCCTGAACTTTGGCAGGACATCGCTAAGCTTTGGCAGGCCTTCCTTGAACTTCGGCAGGCCTTCCCTGATCTTCTGCAGAACTTTTCTGAACTATGGCAGGACTTCCCTGAAATTCAGCAGGACTTCTCTAAACTTCGTCAGGGCTTCCCTGAATTTCGGCAGGCCTTCCCTGAACTACAGCAAGACTTCCCTGAACTTCAGTAGGGCTTCCCTGTCCTTCGACTGACGGATATGGTCCAAATTTCAATACTTCCCATTTTGCTAATTTTCAATGCTTGTTGGAATTGTTGCATTTTGAATTTGGGTATGGTTCGACCGGGTGTGGAGTCAGCATCAACGGAAAAGCATCAACTTTCATCTTAATTAGGAGAGTTGGTTGGAAATGCTATCTAACAAGAAGCTGTAGTGTGATAATTTATTAGCAAGAGAATGATCTTAGAAGAGGGTACACACTAATCGAGTCAGTACGGTTTTACCGAGTTTTTGAATTGCGGAACTGTTCGGTAAAAGTTTAAAAATCTGTAGAAAATTAATTAATGAGAAAATTTGTTCTGATCTTGTACATACTTAGTTCTGTTAACCCCATTTAATGATAGAAAATAAAATTGGTCGATTTCATTGATTCCTTACGGATAACGGTCATTTGAATTTTTACCAACTTTTTCAGTAATTCAAAAACCCAGTAAAAAAATACTGACTCCTGTAAAAAAATCTTAGTGTGTAGGTATATAGTTATGTTAGAGTACGGCATTATGAAAATTGAATAGAAGTTTAAAATGAGCGAAGGGCCATTAATGCAACATTTCAAGTCAAACGCACACTCTTTGCCTAACCCGTACGATGTACGCGGAGATTTGAAGTAGGGGAAAAGTTGGCTTCGGCAATACCTTAACGTATTATCGTCGGGGGGGTACTCAATGTCCTAGAGCACTCAAATTTGGCCAATAGTTGCTCTGAAACACAATGTATCCACGTTGGGACGTTGTTTACCCCCTGACGATAATAGGTTAAGGTATTGCCGAAGCCAACTTTTCCCCTATGTCTTTAAATCTACATGCAAAAAGTGTACGTCTGCCTTTGCTGAAATACTGCGTGTGGCTGTGGAATAGTTCTAGCGACGCTTCATCACTACCTTAAGCCCATGATTAGGTTTGATAGCTTAACTTGGTATGATTGCGGTATAAAACCTTGTTTTGCTATTAATCAGTTATGAAAATTTGTAGTGAAATCCCGAGCAGGAACGAATATCTCGATACCTTAAATTGGTATGGATGAGCCTGACATAAGAGGCAAAATACCAAAAACTTATAGCAAAAAAAAATGTTCCCTCAATACCATTCAAATACCAAATTAAGCAAATTCAATACCAACACAATACTACCCAGTTATTCTTTTGGTATCCAGGAAGTGATAAAAATCCCCATATAAAAATTGAAAGAAGTGGGAATAATTCGCTTTCGGTGCATATTCAGGTAAACACATGAACGGCAACCTAAATAAATTAGTCAGGGACTTTGTCATACAGCTTTTTCCTGGAAATTATTGTTAAACAAGCAACAATTTAAAAAAACTGATTTTTCCCCATACAGTTTTACCTGCTTTACTACTAGTCCTCAGAGAGTCAAAAAATTCAA